TTCTTGCTTAATTACACAAACACACACACACACACACACTCGATATAAAGATGTGGACTAAAAAAAGAAGACAGTATAGCCCTAGTGTTTCGGTGGTCATACACAGGATGAACTTTGATTTGTTATAAAATTGCATTTTATTTTATTTATTAACAATTTTGCTTCCAATTGTTCTATAAAACGTAATACAACATGCTGTACTCTCTAAGGTGTTTAAACAAAAACAACCTTTTTTTTATCTCTTTCACACCCATGCCATTTCTCTTTTTTCACTATATTATTGCACAGTTTAATCAAGTAGTTTGGTCGATTATGATGCATACCGTAATTTATCCGGTATATTTCATAACTCATGCCTGGAAGTAATGGCTTAGAACATCAGCGTGTGTGGTTTCGACACAATTAGCCAACTTTCGACACGTCGCGGAGGAATGAACTTCCAATCATTCTTGATGATGATTCCGGAGGTTAAACTGGATGAAAACGAGTGAAAATGATGAGTTTGACAGTTGAATTGAAACGTCTGACAAGACTTAGATCCAATGTGTCACCCTTCGAAGGATTCTTAACGAAAGGAAAGTAGTTAAACTCGAACGAATTCTTTTAATAACATTAACCCCCTAGAAGAAGCATGTTGGAAGTGAATTTGACAAAGTTTTCGTTTCAAACTTCTTTCAAGTCACTCAATTTTAAACTTTTCTCAATGTCATTTTCAGTCGGTTAAAAGTCCCCCCTTTAAAAATACCCTGCCAAATTGCGACTCAAGGTTTTCATATTTTTTTAAACCTTCCCAATCCAAGTGAAAAAATACTCTAAACGCTGAAATGGTCCTGAAGCCGTCCGGTTATTGTTTTTCCTATTGGGACAGCCTTCGTTGCAAAATCTGTTGCAGTTCATCTTGGGAAATGTGGGAAGACGCGTTGCGCCATGTCATCAACCTTTCCTCACTCCGACTTTCGACTTCGGAATTCTTCGGATTGCTGCTCTCGATTATCTCAGATTTTCATTACTGGATAAAATAATAAAATAATCCGTTTGTATAAAATCTATAATTTAAAATCGTTCAATCGTACGGGGATAATTTTTCTCAATTACTATAAACCGATAAGTTATAACATATAAGAATATAATAATAATAATCTTTTTTAACAAATAAAAGTACAATATTATACATTGTTTTCTTTAACCAATAAGCTAGACATACTCATAACCATCGAGGACTTCTGAGGGCTTGTCTTAAAACAAAAAAAAACGTGTAGAGATTAGTGACCGTTAATCTATAGTTATTCAGATATCGTGAGATGCGGTCGGGAGACCTCATCTCACGATATCTGAATAACAAAAAAAACTATCATCTTGATAGAAATAAATGAAAAGAAAATAATAATGAAATGCAAATACAATACAATTAATGACAATTGCTAAAAAATTAAATTTCACTACATATACAGGGTGTCGTCTCTTTTAAATGGCCCGGGTGAATTTCTCTTGAACTAATGACGCTATCAAAAAACAAAAAATACGGTATAATATTTTTGTCTACTCAATTTACTAGTTTCGTGGTCCGCTTGACCAATTAATTAAGGTTTTCAGTTGAGATAAAAAAGTCAATGACACGAGCTGGATTCGAACCAACAATCTTCGGCTTGATACGCCGCTGCTCTACCACTTGAGCTATCGTGACATCGATCCACTCGGACATCAATTTCCCATCTCAACCACACCTTTTTAATTTTCCCTCCTTTTTGTTATTTTTCAAATGTCGTGTAATCGGATTTGATTCTCGGCGACAAATGAAATGGCCACGGCATTAGTGAAGTGATACTTCATTTTAAACTTATTCAATTCACTAGTTTCGTGGTCCGCTTGACCAATTAATATATTACAATTAATTAAGGTTTTCAGTTGAGATAATCGAATCCCGCTCGTGACACTGACTTTTTTATGTCAACTTAAAACCTTAATTAATTGAATGTTATTAATTGGTCAAGCGGACTACGAAAAATAGTGAGTTTTGAATAATACACTATAAATTTTTAACGTTGAAGATAAACTTGATTGAAAAACTAGTCAATACTCTTGGATCCTTGAAACGACATGTGCGAGATATCAACGTTTAAAATAAACTTCCGGACCGATCTTAGTAGTAAATTTTATATAGTAAACACTCACTCCCTGCTTTAGAAAAGTACACTGACGGATTTAGAACGTAAGAGGGTGTAAAGACAAGAGTATATATTCATGGATAAGAAACAGAATCAGGTTTCTCTTTCTGAATTTTCTACTTACAATTTTACATTTTGTATTTCTGCATTAAAAGATTATACAGATTATTTAATGTTAGCGTTTTACCTTTAATTCCATCCACGGCATAATGTGTGGTGTTTAGAGACCGTTAATAACCGTCTGGTGTGACGTAGGTTTTAGAAAAACTTTATTTATCGTGGCAACGTTTCAATCTTTATTGAGATCATCTTCAGGGCCTAGGATTTATAAACATTGGACATATAATACATAGGATGTCCAATGTAGGGGGACGACTGGCACTTCAACACGACACACAAGAATGACACATCTACACAGAAAACAAACATTTTGAGCCCTGAAGATGACCTCAATAAAGATCGAAACGTTGGCACGATAAAGAAAATGTTTTTCTAAAACCTACGTCACACCAGGCCGCTTCTCACGATCTCCAAATAATCACAACATAATATTTTATCTATTTAAAAGTGTTACTTTTTTTTTTCTTTAAATGACCTTAAGTTTTCATCGTTAGCCATGGGATCCCTTTTATAAAACTAGATATTTCTTCACTCATTCACACGTCCAAATTTTGAGCTGATTTCATGAGATTATATAACTTTTAATAATTAAATAAATTGATAGATATATTTAAATAGAATAAAAGCAGCTTACTATTAGCTAAATAATTTCATGTGAATGAATAATGTGTGGTGATTAGTGACCGTTAGTCGATGATAATTCAGAAATCGTGAGATGCGGTCTGGTGTGATGTAGGTTTCAGAAAAACATTTTCTTTATCGTGCTAACGTTTCGATCTTTATTGAGATCATCTTCAGAGCTCAAAGTGTTGGCCTGGGCACTCTCAACACGGCACGCAAGAATGGCACAATTACGCAGAAAACAAACACTTTGAGCCCTGAAGATAAAGAAAATGTTCTTCTGAAACCTACATGACACCAAAAAGCATCTCACGATTTCTGAATAATTATAAATAAAAAATCAATAAATTATTTAAGGAATAAATAATCAATAAACTAATTAACAAATAAATAATCAATAAATCAATTAACAATTAAATTAATGAAAAAGTAATAACATGTTATCTAATTCTATTGTTAAAGTGTTATCCCACAGCTATATATAAATTCTACTAGGAACCGGTATATTTGTTCATCTTTTTGGAAAATTAAGGATCTGCAGTTTATTGGCTTGGCATTGATTACGGTCTGCCATAATCATCTCTCAACAAAATATTTCGTACGGTTCATAATAAAAATAATATGTTTCATATCTTCTTCAAGCTGGCATGTTCCACATAAATTTGTCCTTCTTTTCTTTATTTTATATACGCACATCCCACAAATGCCATGACCAGACTTAAGCCTGTTTAACATTGAGCTGTCCCTTTTTGTCCAGGTTAGTCCATGGAACTAAGGTTTCTTATATAAGTTAGGATTAACTGAGGTACAGAAAGCACGTGTACGTATGGTATCATTTATGATACGCCATTTCTTAATAATCTCCGCTTGGAGACATCATTTCGCGACCTCGGCCGGTATAGGGGCTTTAAGGATTTTACCGCTATTCAAAGCGCGTTCTGCTAGTTTGTCAACCATACAATGTTCTAAATCCGGACACGCGGGCTTTGGTTTAAAATTAAGTGTCCTTGTTTTACCTCACATCGATTATACTTAATCGCGAGAGAGTGATGTCTTCTTCGATTCAGACCCTCCGAGAAGGGTATGATACGTGAGAGGTTATCTGTCAATCCAGCACAGCGGCGCTTCCATTTCCTCTTAATCAAGGTTTTAATCACAGCTTCAGTGTGGTCAGGTCCGGACGTTAGGACGTCCCGGCATTAGCTGCCTCGTCTGCTTAGACCCTGTGGCTAAGGGTCTAGACAACCATTACCGTTTAGCCGAGATTCTACAATTCAGAATATCTCTCCGAGAAGAGGACGAAGAAAGGGCCCTGGGATGATGAGAGAAGTAACCGCGCTCAGGGACTGCAGAAAAGCTAAGCAGGGAAACCATCGTTTCTGTTGCTACCAAGAAGCAGGCGCACGCCATACCCTCGTCATACAACCCGTACATGAAACGGGGCAAAAGCCGGCGTACTTCGATCAAAGTTCCAAGAATTCATCTCCGTAATGGTATGGCTGAGTAGACTACTTGGCTGACCCGTAGAGATGGTCAAGACGAGAACTGCCCAGTTTGAGTGCAGCTCTCAGTTTTATCCCAGCTCTCCATAAGGCTTCGACGAAGCGTATTCTTGGCGTAGATTTGGTCTAAATAGGCCTGAAACCTTTCTGAAGGCCTTCATCGTAGTCTCTCGAACCTATCTACGCGCGTTATTACGATTGAAGGAAAAGACCATAAAATAAAGTCAAGGTCAGCAGCGAGTAAAACATTTTTACGAGGGTGTCACTTGAAGCTTGAATAATCTTTAGTTCTGATGTCAGTTGCATTTATTATTTTCAATTCTTCCCAACTGAAATATTTTTGAATATTTCCTGGGTATATATATATGGTGAGTGTGTGTGTGTGTGTGTGTGTGTGTGTGTGTGTGTGTTTGCTAGACTGCTTTTGCACGAGTATATTGGGATTGGGTACTAGATTGTTTCTTACTCTTCAGCATTATTGAACTTTGAGGTTCAATCGACTAAGTAAATTGTGAAAATTGATATCCTTCATTTGTTTGAAACCGGAAGCTTAATAAAATTTTAATAGTTGTGATTTATTTAATTTGTCCAGATGCGGATGCGAAGAGTGCGTGACTTCCAGGCTCGAGGACTCCCTTAGGCATTCCAGGTCCAGGATCCACGCTTACCGCGCCCTCGCCAGCCCTTCTTTAATCGCCCTTAGCTCAAAGGACCCGATCCTCACTGCTTTCGAGCTCTCCTGGGAGCTCAGGAGGCTTTCCTTTATGGAGCACGAGTTCAAGACTGAGTACCAGGTAACTTTAAGATAATTCTTTAACTCTCTCTCTCTCTCTCTCTCCCTTGTATTTTGCCATATTTCTTTGAACTTTTTTGTGTTCCCAATAATTGGTGTGAAAATGACAAAGTAAAATTAAAATTTTGATTTTATGTTTCTATTCGCCAGAGCTGGTTGTAGACGTTTTTGGTAAATTATCAAACTTGGAAAATAGATATTAATTTAAATGGCAAGGCTATTGTTGAGACCTAGTCATTTTTTTACATTGAATAACAACCAACGACATATTTCAAGGGCAATGACAACATAGACCAAATGGTATTTACAACTAATAGGGTCTTTTCTTATTTTCTTTTTACGTTAACCGTAACTCGTCTTATTCAAGTGGATTCCTTTTGTCCCGTTGTATTAAGAGATAAGGAAAGTAAATTACAGCAAGTTATAAAGGGGCGACTTGGGCCCGTTAATGCCATACCAAATCCCAGTGCTCAGGATTCTGGACTGCGGACAAATGCTGTCTCCATTTAACATTAGGAATAAAGTGCACTGGTTTATCAACAAATGAAAACCAGCCGAAATGAGTCAAACATTATTTATTATGTTTACAGTAAAAACTGACAATATGTCAAACGCTAGGACGGATGCATTGGTTGTCCAATGTTTAAATGTTCCTACATTAATCGAAACTAGGCAGACTAAATAATTTTAAACAAGTTATTATCAAGAAGTAACAATGAATACCTGGTATACTGACGGCTCCAAAACTGACAAGGGTACGGGAGCTGGGGTCTTCGTGATGAACACCTTAGGTTAGTTTTCCAGTCTCATCATAGCGATTGATCAATGCGCCAGAGATATAAAAAGGCTAGATATACATTCCCGGAAGATAGCCATTTTCTCTGACAGCCAGGCAGCACTCAGGGCCTCGTGCGAGGGGAAAGCAAAGAGTGTTTGGAACTGCATGGAGGCCCTGAGGGAAGCCAGCGATAGTAACGATCTGACCCTGGCATGGGTCCCTGGACATTCGGGGCATAGGGGCAACGAAAAGGTTGACACGTTGGCCAAAAAGGGAGCCAACATGGTCTCTCTGAGCCCAGAACCCTACTGCAGCCTAGCAGCCTGCCACAAATGAGGATACATCTTAAAATGGATCCTTAATGGGTCCAAAACCTGGTGGAACTATACCACAAGTATGAGCGCAAAAACATTCATAGAAGGACCATCCCCAAAACTTACTAAAGAATTACCGGAAGGCAACTGCAAACGAACTAGGATTCTGGGTTCCCTGACAGGGCACTGCCACTTAATGCACATGCATCCGATAGTACGGACAGAAGAAACACTGCACTGATTACTGCCAGGGAGAGGAGGAGACCGCAGAACATATTTTATGTTTCTGTGAAGGTCTGTGTACGTGCAGGTTTTTACAACTAGGACAAGAAAAATCAAAAGCAAGATCCTACCCCAAGGAGCCGCTGACAAAGCTGTCTAGGCTGGTTAATAACCTGAAGCTGGTCAGTGAGTTATAAAAAATAGGGGAGCACCATGGACCTATTCAAGTCGAGGTGCAACAAACATACTTCTCTATTTCATCCTTGTATAAAATTTCTAAAATATCAACATATGCTGAATTATTGATGTTGTATCATCTCTTCTATGTCATTTTAATCAAGAAGGACTTATACTAATCTTTTGTTTCAGGAGCTGAGAAAGCAATGCCAGGACTTTGCGACGGCTCTTCTCGACCATACGAGGAGTTCTTACGAACTCGAAGTCCTCCTCAACCACGACCCGACTGGCCCAGCTTTCGAGCACGGGGAGAGGATGCATCTCAACAGGCTCAAACTAGCCATCAAACTTAGACAAAAGAAGGTTGTTGTTTGCTCCAGTTGTTGTAAAAATTAAAGTAATTCCTGTTATAGAGGCTAGCTTTAACATGTTAGATGACGAACCTCTTTACAATATTTTCTGCTAATTGGTCTCAAATAAAACTCCTAGGGATCTGCTGGGATTCGTGCCCAGAACAGATAGCAAAGACCCGACTCTTTTTGATGTTGTCACTGTTGTTGTTGTTTTGCTACTAGTTTGTAAATTTTGATTTTGGCTCAATTTGCAGTAAACTGCAAAATCCAGTTCTGAATAGATCGTCGATAAATACAATGCAAATCCCATGAGGGATGAACTTTTTGACTTTATCAAGCGGTGAATCATTTAATACAACCAGCAAAATTTCTCTATTTTATTTCCATTGATGATAAAATTTATTATATTATGGTTTAAATATGAAAAAATATTAATAATTAATCAGTTTAATCATTTCCTTTGGAACAAGGTCAAAGTTCGTGAAACGCCGAGAATCCTGCTCGGACAAGTCTAACTTTTCTCCCAAGAAACAACAAACAAATCCAGATAACAAAGCAATACAAATATTAATGATAACTGGACAAGGAAAATCCTCGGCAAGCTTTCGCAACCATTTGTGTCTAAGCCAAAGAGGTTTTTCTTCGAAAAGCGTTAAATTTTCTAGGTTACTGATAGTAGTTTGGAGGTTTATACTACATTTATTATTCTATACTACATTTATTACTTCGGAATGGATTAAGATGGATAACTGTCCTCCGTGAGAACTCGTCCTGTTCTTGTTGGAGAGATACTCGGAACTAGACCATCTCGACAAAACAGTGGTGGTTGCCCATGTCCACGGACCACATACGTCCGGAGGGTAACGAAAAGGCCGAGACGTCCCGGCTTCTCACCTTGCTCACCGCTATCTGGCCCTCTGACAACAATTCGATTAAAAACATAATTAAAAGGAAATAACAAATCGGTGGGCTGGATCGGCAGAAAAGTTTCTGCTAACCAAAATCACGGACAATAGATGGCCCTCGGAGGATGTGAATTATAGAAGAGGGATTATCCTCACCCGATTAAGAATAGTCCATGTGAGGTTGACACACTGACAGTTACTTTTGGGCCAAATCCCGCGTGTGGGTCCGGCAGAAGAGAAAGGTCGCTCGGTGTGCCCCACAGTTTGTAATTGAAGAGTGTCTTTCCTGGGCTACATATAGTGAACGTGAAGGAATGCCACCCGGTTTGAGATTAGACACGGAAGCGACTTTGACTACAATCCAAAGTCCACAGACAAATGTCCAAAGTTCCTGACTATGCATTATGTACTAAAGCACCGCACTTTGAAGTTCACGTTTCTGAACAATAGACATTATGTACGATGGTGTTATTATCGTTTCAGTTCGTAGCGCATCCGAACGTGCAACAACTACTGGCCTCGATATGGTACGAAGGTCTCCCTGGCTTCAGGAGGCAAAACATGGTCCTTCAAGCGCTCCAGATCATCCGGATAGGCTCCATGTTCCCTATATTCAGCATAATGTACATCATCGCGCCGCACTCTAAGCCGGGTCAGACGTTGAGGAAGCCTTTCATCAAATTCATCTGTCATTCTGCGTCTTACTTCACGTTTTTATGTATGTTCTTTATCTTATAGAACCAGAGGGAATTTTCCTGATCTGTGTTTTATTTTCAGTTTTACTCATATTGGCATCGCAAAGGATCGAAACCCTTCTGGACTGGACTCAGGACACCCCGGCGAACCATACAGCGCCAGAACTCACCCCGACGAAAAGAGGGTCGCTCCCGACCATCATCGAATGGCTCATACTTGGCTGGGTGGCAGGTAAGGATTTTCTTTTGTACTTAAATTTATTTCTGTGTAAATTTTTTTTAATCATCCAACAGGTCTGATGTGGAGCGAAGTGAAACAACTTTGGGACGTCGGCCTGGAGGATTACCTGGCGGATATGTGGAACGTCATAGATTTTATCACCAACTCTCTCTACGTCGCAACGGTCGCCTTAAGGATAGTGTCTTACTGCCAGGTGCATTATGAAAACCATTCTGAAATCTATATTTGTGACTAAAGAAAAAGACAATTTCTTTTTCTGGTTTTATCGATTTTTTCTCCCTTTTTCCCCCCTAACACTTGTCACGAATTAAATTAATGACAACAATTAGTGCTTGGTCAATGGGAATATTAATGCTTTTCAGCCATTGAGTATTGTTATTTTTTAATTAGACCGGCATTCAGAGAACCGGCTCCGGCTCAACCCTTGGTTGAATGGCCGCCGTTCGTGCCTTGCACGTCGTTTGTGTCAAGGTACAAGTGAACAATTCTGCTCGTTGTTTCAACTTTTGACTATTTGCATTTGTGCAATATGTAAAAGAGTATACAATGAGCAATTAGTACATGTACATATATACGAGTATTACCCATCTGATATATCTGTAAGACCATGAGGCGGTAAAAGCTAACCAGTGCTGAAACTCTCTGTTTTTGGTTTGGTCTTGATAGGGTCGAGTGGGAAGTCAGAGGACGACGCTTGTTTTAGACAGCATGGAAGGTTATAATGGTTATAAGGTGGTACATAGAAGAAAGAGTTATTGGCTTATGATCGGATTACGATTCGGATCCTCCACGAATGGAATCAGTAAGAATGTAGAGATCGTCTTCCGTGGTGGAGGTAGAACAAAAGCCAGAGATGGTAATCACTAAGGATATAGTGATCGACCAGCAGTTCCCAAATTTAGGGCTATACCAGGGATGTAGTCGTCCATGGTGGATATCGAACAAAAGCAGTTCTCAAGTTTAGGTGTATCACAGGGATGTGATCATTACTGGTGGAGGTAGAAAATACTCAGCGTTGATAATCAATGAGGAAGGATGTATAAATCAACCAGTTTGGATGTAGAACAGGAATGTAGCCTTCCATGGTGTAGATAGAACAAAAACCATAGGTGATTGTAAGGATATAGTGATAGACGAACAGTTCTCAAGTTTGGATGTATATCAGAAATAGTAAGACCACATTTTAATGTACATAAATAAAGGATGTATAGGATTGAACTCTAGAATATAGAGGATTTTGGATTGTAAGGACTCGTTGTTCTTGGAAGATTTGGCCGAGCCCCATAGCTCTGTAAGCTTATATCACTGTAATGAGAGAAGATGCTTAGTGTAGATTTCGGTCCAAGTGGCGTCTGAGTTGTCCATATCTCTTGTCTTACTATCGAAGTATGTAAGTATGTTATCCAAGTAAGGCCCGAGGTAGCGGACTTAGTTGGATGGATGACCTTGTTATTAATAAGAATTGCGGTTTGGCGTGTGAATGTCACATGTTGTCTTGTTTCTTCTTAGGGTCGAAGTGTGTGGATAGGGTCGAGGTATCGGATATCGAGAAGAAGATCGGTCCTAGAGTACTTCCTTGCAGAACGCCAGCTTGATTGGCGTGATGATAAATCGAAACTTATTCTCACTTTAAACCTATCTGATCGGAAAGGCTTTTTAATTTTTAAAACTAAAACTCTGCTTAACATTATAATGTCAGAAACCAAATTAATCTCTGGGGATTAAGTTTTAATAGTCAAAATTTCTTATGCGTTTTTTCAGTCTTAGATGATGTTGGAGCAGTGTTTTAACCCAACAGTTTTTAGCAAACATTCAAATTGTTTAAATTTGTTGTAAAATGACATAGTGTATAACAATTAGAACAATTTTTAAGGTTCAAAGGGACATACTGCAAGGGAATGCTACGGATATACCTAGAGAGAATTGGGATACTTGGGACCCGATGTTGATATCCGAGGGTTTATTTTCCGCTGCCAATATTTTTAGGTAATTTGTTTTATAAGTTTGTTTTCAACTCTTTAATTTTCAATTTAACTTTTCTTCCAGCTCTTTAAAGTTAGTTTATATATTTTCCGTCAATCCTTATTTGGGACCTTTACAAGTCTCGCTGAGCCGCATGGTGCTCGACATAATGAAATTCTTCTTCCTCTACGTCCTCGTCCTGTTCGCATTTTCTTGCGGTATGAACCAGCTGCTTTGGTACTACGCGGACATGGAGAAGCAGCGGTGTCCCAACGCGACCACCACGTACGATGCCAAAAATTCAACCGACCCCGACGCCTGTCTCGTCTGGCGAAGATTCGCCAAGTAAAACAAGGGAAATTAACCAAAATAAATCCGAATTCTAACTAAACTCAATTCACAGCCTGTTCGAGACGTCGCAGACGCTCTTTTGGGCTGTGTTCGGCTTGATCGACTTGGACAACTTCGAATTGGCCGGGATTAAGACTTTCACCCGATTCTGGGGGATGCTCATGTTCGGAACCTATTCTGTGATTAATATAGTAGTCCTATTAAACTTGCTCATCGCAATGATGAATCATTCCTACCAGCTAATATCCGTGAGTACGGACCTCGCCCTATTTTCTTACGCTCCGCTGAGTTTCTTTTTTCTAGGAACGAGCCGACATCGAGTGGAAATTCGCTCGTAGCCGTCTGTGGATCAGCTATTTTGAAGAGGGTGGTACCGTACCGCCGCCTTTCAACGTACTGCCTTCACCGAAGAGCGTCTGGTACTTCCTGATGTGGCTGCACAGGAGGTTCTGCGGGCAGAGCAGGGCGGCAAAAAAAGAGCACATGAGGACAATTAAGGTAATCAATATGTTTCTTCGATATATTGGAAAACGCTGCGGGAGCGGGATCGGGCAGCTACGGTCGAAATTCTTTTCTTTTCAGATTTTCATTTTAATCTTACTGATTATACATTTTAAATTTTTCAGGCCTGATCTTTTACTATATAAACTGTTTTCATTTCAAAATCTTAAAATTAAGACAACAGATCAATCCTCGATTAAGATACCAATAGAAAAGAAACAACACAAAGTCCTTTTTTTTCTTGCCAATCTTTCGGAAGCCAAGACAAGGTTTCAGAAGCTCTTTTTAAGATAAGCATTGATGGGTGCCTGTTTGGGCGAGATAAGACGTCCAAGTGTCTTGAATCGTTTTAACTCTATATCAATATTTAGCTAAGTGTTAAGTGTTGACTTGATTTTTTATGTTAAGTGGTTTGAAGACAAAACAATAAGTTAATACATCAAATTTGAGACAAAAAGTGGCAGATTGTTTAGGCAGGTTTTAACAGTTGGAAAATATTTACTTTACTTTTTTTTAAATAAACACTTTTGTAGGGTGAAATAAAAAAATAAATAAATGATTCGTTTGTTTTTAATGGCAGTTCAACAAACCGAAGTGAAAAGAGGCGTCCGAGTGACTTATTAGGTTTTAACCTTTTTAAATATTTATATAAGTTATGGCTTTATTTGCTTGTTTTAAAATAAACACGGAAGCAGGGTGGAACAACAAGGTGTTCAAATTGTTTCTTTTTTTAAGACTCGTCAAAATAAGAATTAAAAATGTGTCTTGTGTCGCAAAAAGAAACAATTTCAACCAAGTCTTCTTCTCTTTTAGTAATGAAGATGATAGAAAAAATTATCGATTTGTTCAAATGATCAATACTCTTGCTTGATTGTAATACACGGTTTATAAGAGAAAAGTTCTAAAAGAATCACCTATTTAACAATAAAAGTTTTTTGGTTGCTCCCGGTTGTTTTGGACTGTCAGATGCGCCATTATCAGTGTTGGGTATGTGACGAACTATTATGAAACAAAGATTCATTCGAACACAGTGATGTATGTATTAATAGTCAACGGTGACACCATGATGTGTTCACCTTCCAAGAAGTCATGAGAAGGAAAGATATGAATAAGAAGGATAAAGCCTTATGGCCATATCGGTTTTTCGATTATCGATGTATATAATCTACATGTGGTCTACGCTAGTGCCCTACCATCTGCTGCTCCACTCCAAGTTGGAGTACACCTAGGACGAGATAATTTCCGTATTCACAAATACACATACTGGCCCTCCGCAAACCACGTTAGTTCTAAATCCGTAAAAACCCCGCAATCGTCAAGAGAAGAGACGCATCAGAGCAATTAGCCTATCGGTTGGCATGAGCGTTGGCTGACGGGTCAAAGGTGTACAGTCCAGCGCTTTCAGGGCTTGGAGTAACGAACCTCAGGTGAAGTTTTTAGATTTACTCCTCCTCCCACCTGCAAGGGAATTGCACATATACTCAAAAATATCTCCCCAAAAAGGTGGTATAGGTCCGAGCCCCTAGTTGCCTAAACCAGGTGATACATTACAAGAACCAACGGACTTGGAGTGGGAAGATGTTTGTATGATTGTCACGCCGTAGAGTAGTTGCGTTCGGAGAAAGTCAATCTCCACGAACTCCCCCCCCCCTACTTACAGCATTCGAGGCCAAGAACACCACGAATTTTCTACGGTTTCTCGATGAATATCATCAGAACAAGCGTATACATAACCGTGCGGACAAATAAGCTATAGATAACACAGAATGAATAGAGGAGCACCATTAGGTGCTTGATGCCTTGACATACCACTTGGGTTCAAAGGCCCGGCAAGAAAGTACTCTTCTTCCTCAATGGTTTTGCATCTCGAAAATTGACAAGCATATAATGGTCAAATGTTCGAAGAAAGTCCTCGTGGTGCATTTCATGTAAGGAGCACGGTTCTGAAGTCTGTGCAGAATAACCGAGAGCTAAAACTCGCAAGCCAACCCCTTCGCGGCAAATATGCCTGTACCGTTAGGTTCCCATCAAGTTGCGATTCACATCCCAGGTCAAGCCTGTTTACATTCAGGTACAGCCTTCTTCACATTTGCGGGTTAAGTTAAGGGTAGAGGTCATCTACCATTGCTGACTTCAAGGTTCTCCACCTATGACTAACAGTTGGATCCGACGGATTGCAAGCTAGCGGTTGGAACAACTCCCCAATACATAAGTTCTTGACTAAACAGGCACCTTTTAGTTTAGCGTCCGAAAGGACCTTAACAGTGACTGCGTTCCTCACTCCCCGCAATAGTGCACCATTAATGGAACGTATTTAGTAACTACAATAACATTTCTCATATGCTGGAATTTAAAATTTTACCCACTCTGCTATATGCCCGCGGGATGCTTTCAGAGAGCGAGTGCCTAGATAAAACATGTCTGACAGGCAAAACCAGCGAAGATTTGCAAATTAAAATGATTCGTAACAAACAAGCTCCGGGTTAAACACACCGACCACATAGATAATTCTTACGAATGTTATTTAGTTTATAACTCTGTGAGCTGATTATAACTGTTGGATCGCAGGTTGAAGTAAAGAAAAAGAACGAAGTCCAAGAAAGAGCAGATTAGGACTTTCTGCAGGATTGAGGTACGTACTGCCGGGGAACATGTTAGAAGCGAAGATAGGGTAAAAGTTAGGAAATGATAAAAATCATTGTGAACATATGCAATCCAAGAACTTCTTTGAGAGATTTAAAAAAAATTTGAATTACCAAATTTATCAAAGAAAACAGGTTTTGAATCACATGCGAATTCTGCAAAGAAGCTGAGTAAATCTGAATAACACCTGCTGTGGTTGGCCATATATCCGCACGATAAAGGAGAAATAAAAAAACATAAAAAATTGATCAAATAATGAAATTCCTCGATGCATCAGGACTCATCCTTGTAACAAAAGTAAAGAATACGAAATATAGAATATCTTAAACAGCGTGGTATAACTTAAACGTCCTAAAATCGATAAATGAAATCTGAAACCTTGGAAGTTAGTTCTGCTTTCGTGATTTTGTTCTGGTTAGATGGCCAAACATCAGGATATTTAAATGATTTTGGCCGAGAAAAATAACAGAATAAATCCTACATACGATAATCACCGCTTGGGTGTTTTATAATTTTCAGTTTTATCATTCTTCATCTGATTGTCTGTGCGTCATCGACCCAGTGCCCCGACCGCTTCCGACTCGCAGGTCTATAAATAACAATTTCAATTATGGCGATTTTGTTCTTTTTTTGAAATTGCGTCACTAATAATGAGCTTTACCCTCCTCCAACCTTTCCGCATATCCGTTCTTCTCCTCCGGCGTCACGTCCACCGTCCTCGGCACATCTCCGTCAACGCACTTCCCCTTTCTTCTCTTTGTTTTAGCGCAAGGCCAAACAGGCGAGCGAGCGAGACTTCCGCTATCAAGTAAGTACCGCGACCGATTTGGTCCAAGAATGCAAAAATTGTAAATTCATATTAATCTGTATATATGTTTTTTCCTATTGTATTGAGCATGGGATTATGGAACGATATTTATTTAAATTGATTAATCGTAAGGAATTTCGCAATTCACCAAATTTGACTGTATAATAGAAATGAGCTTTGTTTATGCTGGGTAACATTCAGAATTGCTAAAAATACGGAGAAATTGAGCTGATTCGAACCAAAATTTAAATCGTCGCAAACCGCCCGTTATTTCATTTTTCACAATTTCTCCGTACAGCTGCGAAAGGGGTAGCGACCGTTTTTCAGACCACAAAATGCATTTTGTAAATATTATTATTTAATTTAAACAATAATCTTTTTAGCACAGAATGAAACTAGTCCCGTGAGATTCAAAACTGTACAAAGGCATCAAATAATTTTGTTAAAGTTGTGTCAAATATTTTGTGTATTCTTGATGTTGATTCACACTATCCGCCAAAGTTTTAAAACTATCCCATTTCTATCGTTCGTGTAAATTTTGTGTATATTTTCTTCAAAACTCATCATCACATAGAAAATATTCTCTTTTGTTTATTTTATATGACAATAATAGGCGAACAATCGTAGCAATCAATTTGTCGTACACCCAGGAGAGGAAGGAATAATTTTTTGACTTGTATAAAAAGTTTATCAAAAATTTAGGTTGTTGCCAAAAATTGTCAATTCACTATTTTTAAAACCCCTGCGCTATAAATTCGTAGTGTACTAAGAAAAACAAAACCAAGAATTGCCCTTGTAACAGATTTTGAGAAAATGGTATACCGAAAATGACAACTTTTAAGCGTCTCTTTGGGGGCGTCGGTGGCCGCAAAGGTTTAGGCGTTGACACGGGGCCCATCACTGCAAAGTAAAGGTCCCGGGTTCGAATCCAGCGGCCCTGCATTCGAACCCGACATACTTACAAAAGTCGTTTTTTTTTTTCAAAAACACCGGCACCCTGAGGGTTGATATGACCTCTGTTGTTGCGAACCCTCGTAAAAAATAAAAAAATACAAAAACCTCCCTTTGGATAATAAAATTACGGTGAAAATTGTTTAAATGCGGTAAAATTGAAAGGAAATGCAGACAATCCTGAAAAGTTGTATTGTCTCACCTTGCGATACGTTATTCCTCTAAAGCACGTCATCATAATGAAACAATTATTTTTATTTTCTTATTATTTTCATTTTGCAAAGCGATCAGAGGGCAAGCAATGAATTTTCATTTAAAAACACAAAGGAACGGAGAAATCAATACGTTTGTATTACAAAAGGTGTAAAATTGTATCAGAACTTTAAGTTTTTTTTTAATAAACGATTAACTATTTTCAAAAGCCCCTAGCTTCAAATTTGTAATATGAAAAATTAAACAAAAAATGTTGAAAAAAATGACAATCTTTAGAACTCTCTTTGAACAAATAACTGACTGTGAAAAATTGTTGGTATTTTCTCACGTTTCGGTACGCTTTTCTCCAAAGCTCTTCATGTTGAAACATTTTTGTTTTTTCATTTTGCAGAGGAATCAGAGTGCAAAAAATTTTAGCGATGAAATTGCTTTTAAAAACACAAAAAACGGATTTTTTTAATTATTACTAATCGTAATCCATCGAGTATAAATTGAGTTAAAATATAAACTTTAAAAAAAAGCAGTTGTTCGTCCGAAAATCGGACGCTACCCCATTAAATCTGAAGGAAACAAATACTTTCTGTTTTTGAATTTAATTCAGGGTTCAAGAGAACATCAAGAAATTTCACAGTTTACGACAAACTTTACACGCTTTGAAATGGCACATCGCATTCCGTTTCTTCTAATAAATCTAAGGTTTATTGAATTTCTCTTTAAATTACTAAACATATATATGTGATTAACTCGAAAATAAAAGTAATTCTCGCCTTTCTTTATTTTTGTTTTAATTAAACAATTTGAGAATAAAGGATTGGTGTAAATTGAGAAAAACTGCACCGTTTTCAAAGGGGTCCGGCTATTTTTATCGTTGCGGTTTCACAATGCTATGCATTGCCCTGTATATCTACCAAAACTAATTAATTTTTTTTTACTTTTAAAGTATGTGTTCAATGCCACATCCAGAAATTTCAGAATTTTTCAACAAACTTTACCTCCTTTGAACTACGAACACTCTGGTTCAAAGTATGGTCTTGAAGAAGAAAGCAAATTTAGTTGCTACTGCCAAGCTTTAGACCTATTTTAATGCCATCATCAGGGCAAAACAACTATAAATATGTCTACAAATTGATGGATTTTATTTTTTGAGTGAGTTACAGTCCTTGGCAGTGCTGGGACTTCACCAGTAAAAAACTTAAATATGTTAACCTGTATACATATAAAAGGTTGTTTTACCCTGATGATGACGTTAAAATAGGTCGAAAGCTTGGCAGTAGCAACTAAATTTGATTTTTTCTTCAAGACCATAGTGACCTTGATTCAGAGTGTTGATAAGTGAAAAAGTGGTCTATACTTCTAATTCTGAAAACCATAACAACAAAGATAACAAAAAAAGCTTTCGTTTTTGCATTCATATTTTGTTTAGTTAAAAATTGCAAAATTTAATAGTCGGTGTTTCACAAAACACTTTTTCCGAGTAGATGCATTTTATATTTTTATCGTAACATTTTTCGCAATGCGCCGAATTTTTCCGTAGATCTATTAAAACTAGTAAAAATAAAAGTCGTATAGAAAAATATCAAAAATATATTCTCAGTTTTTTCATCAAGCTTTCGAGGAATATATCTCCTTCATCAAGATTGAAACTATTTCTAATCATAAATAGTGAGGAAAGATAGGGTAGTTATATAAAAGTTATAAAAAATTAAGTGTTATACATAATCAAATATTAAAATATTCAAATCAAAAAACATTGTACACTAGTTAATTATTCATACATTACTTTAATTACATTTTGTACTTATCGAAGGTATATCATCTGCAAGTGTAATTGACAATTTGAATTAAATACGTGAACATTTAACGGGACATCATTATTTTTTATTAATTTTTGTCAATTAGGATAAAAGGATATATGTGTTGGCATTTTGTGCGTCGTCCACTCGTCCAATCTACTAAGCTAATCTCATAACATCACTCTGGTTGAAATCGTAATTTTTAATATTATTTGGAGATTGTGAGATGCGGTCTGGTATGACGTAGGTTTTAGAAAAACATTTTCTTTCTCGTGCCATCGTTTCGATCTTTATTAAGATCATCTTCAGGGCTCAAAGTGTTGGCCTGGGCACTCTCAACACGACACACAAGAATGGCACAATTACGCAGAAAACAAACACTTTGAGCCCTGAAGATGATCTCAATAAAGTTCGCAACGTTGGCGCGATAATGAAAAAAATGAGGTTTTCTTTGTCGTGCCCACGTTTCGATCTTTATTGAGAACATCTTCAGGGCCTGGGATTTATAAACGCTGTTTAAATTATACATGTGCGATGTAAAATAAGATGAATTTATAAAATGCTAGAAATTTTAGATTCAATCAAAATATTTGTACTCATTCAAAGTGTTTGTTTTGTGTGTAGATGTGTCATTATTGTGTGTCGTGTTGAGAGCGCCAGTGAGATATTGATGTATTATGTGTATATACGTTGGATTTTGAAAGGGTGGGGATGGAAGTATGGATAGAAAGACATTTTTATATGAGGAGTCGGCTTCTTTGAGGTGAAAGGAGCCGACAATGGGAAAAAATGGCTAATGGTTCGGCCTGATTATCCTTTCAGGATTATACAGACGGAGATAATTAGGGAAAGGAAAGCTAAATTGTTGTACAATTTTTAGAACTTTTTTTTACATCCAACATGTATTTGTATAATTTAAACAATGTTTGTACATCCCAGGCCCTGAAGATGTTCTCAATAAAGATCGAAACGTTGGCACGAGAAAGAAAATGTTTTTCTACAACCTACGTCACACCAGACCGCATCTCACGATCTCCAAATAATCATTAACTTAGGGTCACTAAACACCACACATTTTTAATATTGTAAGCAGATTTTTATATTTGTTTACCGATAGATCATTAGAAATAATTTCGAAGTTCTGGTGACGGGAGTACATTCCTTGAAATATTGACGAAACAACTGACTGTTTTTCTTTTCTTTCAATTTCATCTTCTCCTAGACGTATGAGATATAATTATAATATTAAGGCCGATGTTAATCACGTTGAAAAATAATGTCTTTTGGCTTTATTTTTAAAATGTAAAACAGAAAAAAGAGGCAAAGGAAAAAAAATAAAAATAATCAACGTATTAATCCAAAGTGCACATCAAAGGATTCGCGACGGGCTTATCCCTTTATTTTCCTACCTTAAATAAAATTAATAAAAAAATAATTGAAATTGTGTTTAAGCATTGTATATTCAAATCAAAAAATTAGAAAATACAGTGTTAGTGAGACTTGGAAAAATCCGCATCTTGTACGACTAAGTGAGTCCTTTACAAAACAACATTTTTTTTATTATTTAATCGTAAGATTTTCATTTTCATTACCTCATACCTTCGTAGATCTATTAAAACGAAGTCTTTTTGATTATTTATTTCTTATAAATACACAAGATAGTTTGCTATGAGAGCAAAACAATGTGGGGATAGTAGTCTGGAGCAGAATGCGGCAAAAACAGGTTTTCTAGCAGTAGAGTGCTGAAAGACGTAAGGTATCGAACTATCTGCTTTATTCGATATTTTTAGTAACAAAAACCGCTTTATTTAATAAGCTTTTGAAAGGTACGCTTGGTAGGATCGGTACATTCTTTCTTCGAGGAGTATTCTAGATCACACCCCCTTCAAAATCGTGTATTATGAAATCGAGGTTTTACGCGAAAGATGGAATTTCTATTGATGGCAGAAGTTTGTTTTAAATGTAAAGCCGAATAGTACTGATTAAAATAAAATTAAGTAATCTTTATGTAAGGTTATTGGTTGAGATAAAAAAGTCAGTGTCACAAGCGGGATTCGAACCCACGAACTACGGGTAAATACGCCGCTGCTCTACCACTTGAGTTATCGTGACTTCTTTCCACTCGGACACTAACTTCCCACTTCAACCTCACCTCTCGAATTTTCCCTCCTTTTTGCCATTTTTCAAATGTCGTGTAATCTATTTGATTTTCGGCGACAAATGTAATGGCCACGGAGAGCTTTCGTGAAGTATACTTCATTTTGCTTATTAAATTCATTAGGTTTCGTGGTCCGATTGCCCAAATAAATTCTTTTCAAATTAATTAACCTTTAAGTAAGGCATTAGTGACTTTCTTATCTCAACTAAAAACCTTAATTAATTGAAATAAATAATACCTTACTTAAAGTTTAATTATAAATTTCATAAATGGTGAAAAATAATTTGTCATCTAAATAAAGCGTAGTTTAGTACCACCAGAACGGGGTTTCTGTCTTGACCATTTCCTGAAAAACTAACATTTTTTGAGATTTTAGTCCAAAATCAGATGTTTTGACATAAAATCGTAATTTCTCAACATAATGCACACTAGATTAAATTTTCCACAAGATGGCAACATTTCCGTTGAAAAATTTGCGCTTCTAAATACACAGTAGCTCAGTAGCAACACGATAGCTGAAGTGGTAGAGCAGCGGCGCATTTAGCCCGAAGGTCGTGGGTTCGAATCCCGCTCGTGACTGACTTTTTCATCTCAACCAATAATCTTACATAAAGATTAATTAATTGAAAGTGTTATTTGGTCAATCGGGCCACGAAACCTAATAAATTTAATAAAATTAAGATTGATTTACACATGAAAACAGCTCTAGAGTTTCGAATAAAACTAATTGATTTTTCTTTATCGGGAATAGAGTTCACTTCTAATTAAACTCTAATCATGCTGCAAAAACCTCTATCATGTTTAACAGAATGCAGCACAAGATTTGCAAGAATTGTTAACTTTTGATGTAACAGTGAAAAAAAATGGGTAAAAGTGTTTGACAGCGCGCGAGTCGAGATTCATAAGATATGAACTTATCTGTTTACAAATAAGTCAATTAATTTTAATTTTTATAAGTAGTATTTAGCATATTTAATATGTACTTTTTTATGTAATAAAAAATTATGTCGTCAATGCGAATTAAACCTTCCCGGATCGGTTAAAAAAAATGTACTGATAATACCGGGCATAAATTTGGTTATTAAATAAAGCAGTTTTCGTAAAATTCGACAATTCTCATCAATGCTATGTTTAAATTTTATAGGATTATGCCGTAGAAACGGCTTTGGGCTGAAAGGGTTATGTAGATGACTCATCCTGTAGAAAAATTTAAATTAAGTTTTAAAAGGGACTTTAATTTTGATGAAAAATGCTGACGTAATGAAGAAAATCTAGTTTTGTACGACAAGTTCATTTGCCAAAAATAAACATAAAAATTATCAGGTGGTTTTGTTTATCTGTGTATTTTATGGGTCATATTCTTGAAAATTCTTTATTTAAAAAAATTACTAAATGCTTTTCGCTGCTCTATCCGTCCCTCTCATCCGGCAGATTTTCCTCTGGAACAGCGTTTTTGTTGTTACAGTATCAAAGCTACGCCAGGGAATTATCTGCCTGATGAAAGGGACGATCGAAAAATGCATTTAGTTATTTTTGTAAAAAAAAAAAAGAAGATTTTTCGCAAGAATATGTTGCATAAAATACAAGATAAATAAAACAACAATAAGACAAACAGCGTGAAAAACTAATAAAATGCCGTTTTTGCGTACTCTAATGTATTTACAGTCTACTATCGCCTAATTTATTTATTTATTTGCATCTCGTAGCGAACCTCTCTATATTTTGTACAATAATTAGTACGCATGCTTTGAAATAACTCAAAATAAAAGTAAACAAAGTAATTCCAGTTTTAATCATTTTTAACAGCTTAAACAGACTTATAAAAAAAATGATGTCCAGCTCAGTCAAGAATATTGACACTAGGTTAAGATATTTTATATATATTTTATATAATATATAAATATATTCTTGATTGAATTCACTAGTTTCGTGGTCCGCTTGACCAATTAATATCATACAATTAATTAAGGTTTTTATCTCAACTAAATGATGTGAAGTTTAAAATGAAGTATCCTTCATTAAAGCTCTCTGTGGCCATTTCATTTGTCGCCGAGAATCAAATTGATCACACGACATTTGAAAAATGGCAAAAAGGAGGGAAAATTCAAAAGGTGTGGTTGAGATGGGAAGTTGGTGTGCGAGTGGATCGAGGTCACGATAGCTCAAGTGGTAGAGCAGCGGCGTATCAAGCCGAAGATCGTGGGTTCGAATCCCGCTCGTGCCATTGACTTTTTTGTCTCAATAAAAACCTTAATTAATTGTATTCTTGATTGAGCTGGACATCATTTTTTTATAAGTGTGTTTGAGCTGTTAAACATGGCTAAAAGTGTAATAACTGTGTTTTTGCAATGTACAATGTACAAATATAAACAATTGAAATGTAGATAGTTTAAAACAAAACAAACAGAGCAGACGAATATCCAATTTTTATTGTCTAAAGAATTTATAATTAATTAATTGCTCAATTGAGGCCTTATCTAACGAGGCGCACGTTAATTAAAACGAAAACAGTTTTTATTATTTAGGCCCAAGGTTTTTGGCAATACACCACAATTTTCTGATTCAATTTGTCAAACTAAGCGGACAGAAAAACCTTTCTTTTTGTTTCTAACTGTATAATGCACAGTGTTGAGAAATTTCACTTTTTAACCGACTGCACAAGCTTTGAAACTGCACAACTCCATTTATTATTAGATGGCAAAGTTTTTCACGATCTACCTAAGTTTTCAGCAAAGCACTTTTGGTTGACCCAAAAGAAACACTTTCATGGCACAACTTTCCACTTTCTTTTCTCTTTTTATCTGTATTCTTATATTTAAAACGAAACGGCAAAACGACTAACATTGTGAACCTGGGTTGTGCAGACGATAATGCGTAATCTCGTGAGGAGGTACGTGACCGTGGAGCAGCGGAAGGCGGAAAACGAGGGCGTCACGGAAGACGACGTCAACGAGATCAAGCAGGACATATCCGCATTTAGGTGCGAGCTGATCGAGATCCTGAAGGAGTCCGGGATGAACACGTCGACGGCGACCGGGACCGGCACGGGTAAGATAACAGGGCCGTTCACCAAGACTGGTCTGTTTTTTAAATTTTTTGTTTTTAATTCCTTGTTCTTCCAGGAGCAGGAGGAAAGAAAAACAGGCAGAAGGAAAGGAGGCTCATGAAAGGCTTCAACATCGCACCGCCGCCCAGCTCGTCGAATTCGTCCAACCTACCGGTTGCCGAGTTCATAGCCGCTCTCCAAAAAAGTTCTTCCAATGAAAACTTATCCAACGCCGGGCCTGGACGACTAGGTAAATCATGTTTCGATTATGTGAACCGACCCAATCCAGATCCAAAATAGTAGATTGTTCTTGTAGTTGTTCGTCTCTGTCTGTATTTTATTTAGCCCTTATGTGAAGCTATTTTATTATTTTTTTCGTTTGCGTTAATCAATATTTTTTCGCATTTGGCACACTTGAAAGGGTCCCGCGATAGTCCCCACTCGGATAATTGTAAAAATATTAAAAATCTAATTGCTATGCATACGCAATTTCAACCATTTCTCATACTGAAAACTGTGTATAAATTATCGCCATTGCACGATGATCCATACTGATAAATGCATATTTACGAAATCTGGGCCACCCTTCAATACGCTTGTATTTATAAAATAAGTTCATATTGTTTATATACTGCTTTTATCCTCGTTTGACGTTAAAATATAACAGGTCATATATCAAAATATAAAAATCAAAGGTATAGTTCAAGTTGTAAGGTTGCAAAATTAATTAAGGCATAAATTTTGCTTGTTTGGCATATTCAACCCAATTTTTTAAATTTCGAAAGCTAATGGATTTATTAAGTTAAATGACGTATATCTTCACTAAAATTCTCCGTGGCCATTACGTTTGTCGCCGAGAATCAAATAGATTACACATCATTTTAAGAATGGCAAAAAGGAGCGAAAATTTGAAAGGTTGGGATGAGGTGGGAAGTTAGTGTCCGAGTGGATTGAGGTCACACTAGCTCAAGTGGTAGAGCAGCGGCGTATCTAGCCGAAGGACGTGAGTTCGAATCGCGCTCGTGACACTGACTTTTTTATCTCAACCAAAACCTTAAATAAAGATTAATTAATTGAAAGATTTTATTTTGTCAATCGGACTACGAAAGCTAATGGATATATTTACAGTGATTATTTGGAGATCGTGAGGTCTGGTGTGAGGTAGGTTTTAGAAAAACATTTTCTTTAGCGTGTCAACGTTTCGAACTTTATTGAGATCGTCTTCAGGGCCTGGGATTTATAAACATCGTTTAAATTTTACAAATACATGTAGGATGTGAAAAAAAAATGAATTATACAATGCTAGAAAATTTTATACTCAGTCCAAATATTTGTACTCACTCAAGTGCTTGTTTTCCGTGTAGATGTGTCGTGTAGAGTGCCAGTGAGATGTTGCTGTTTTATGTATAAGTACGTTGGATTTTGAAGGGGTGGGGAAGGAAGTCGGGATGGAAATACATTTTTATGTGAGGAGTCAGCTTCTTTGAGGTGAAAGTTGTAAAAATGGGAAAAACATGGGTAATAGTTCGGCATGATTATCCTTTTGGGATTATATAGACTGGGATAATTAAGGAAAGGAATGCTAAATTGTTGTAGAATTAGTTTACGTTGAAAAAAAGTCAATGGCACGAGAGGGATTCGAACCCACGACCTTCGGCTAGATACGCCGCTGCTCTACCACCTGAGCTCGATCCACTAGGACACCGACTTCCCATCTCAACCCCACCTTATGAGTTTTCCCTCCTTTTTGCCATTTTTCAAATGTCGTGTTATCGGTTTGGATTCTCGACGACAATTGAAATGGCGACGGAGAGCTTTAGCGAAGTGTACTTAATTTTTAAATCATTAATTCACTACTTTCCTGGTCCGCTTGACCAATTAATACATGACAATTAATTAAGGTTTTTAGTTGAGATGAAAGCTCAGAGGTGGTAGAGCAGCGGCTTATCAAGCCGAAGGTCGTGGGTTGGAATCCCTCTCGTGCCATTGACTTTTTTTCATCTCAACTAAAAACCTTAATTAATTGTTATATTATATGTTTTGTGCAATGTGAAGATGATATATGAATGTTATCGATATTGAATTTGATTAATGATATTAGTGTAGCTGCGATCGAGTTTACATATGTCTGTTCTGTAGGTGATGCTGTGCTTATCTCTATTGATGTAAACCATTTCTAAAAATGTTGAACTGGCACACGGGCACTACTGGGTCTGTCTTCACTCGCGGTTTTGTTTTTTTTTTTCACTGAAATGGTGTAATGCCGAAACGCGTTTGAATAACTCAAAAAAAAAAAAAACTCCGCGAGTGAAGACAGGCCCAGTAGTGCCCGTGTGCCAGTTCAACCTGAGTTCGCCACCTCGCAGACCAAACCCCATCATCTACCATTTCTAAAAAGTTACGTTTATTTTTGTTTTGTTCTTTGTGTAATATTTTTGGATTTTTGAAGTCGAAATTGAGTTGGCAATCAAAATGGTGGGTAGCCAGTGCTGTAGGATTTTGTTTGGGTTTTTGCTATCTTAGATATTTTGCTTTACTCTCTTATCCAGATATATTTATAATAAATACCGTGGAAGAAACAAACAAAAAAATGTCTTTTCTTAAAAACAATAAAAAATTCCTCTTTAAAGAAAAACAACAAAATTTCAACTTAGATAAATCAATTCAATACAAATAACTATCGCAAGTACACTTAATTGAACGAGGAGCGGGCGCACTCCAGAAAGGAACAGGGATCCAGGAATTAACGAAAATAAAGGAATAGACTCAACGTTGTTGACTCCAGCGCCTCCAGCCACTTAATGCCTTTCTACCCGCTTTTCTCATCACTTCTCGGGGAAGAAGAGTGATGAAGAGTGATCACTCTTCTCTCTCCACCAGGGTTGTATACCAAATAAGCAATATTTATGCCTTAATTAATTTTGCAACCTTACAAAGTTCGTGTCTCTTTAGTAATGTTCGCCAATCTGTCAGACCTAAAAACACTGGAATTTTATTTATTTACGTTTCCCCCCGAAGGTCCGGATATTATGAGAAATCGGGAATTTTTTCATCCAATAGGGAGGACCTACCTCGTCTGCACCGACTTCTTGAGCGCGGTTACGAACCTGACAGGTCCTCCATTGTATCCTTGTTTCGATTTCGTTGGAGAAAGACTAAATCGGAGCTTCTCCCTGGATACATACGTCTGGAGGTTAATAAATGTTCGGGGTGTCCCAATCTCCTGACCAAAACGATCTAGCAATCAAGGATACAAGGACAGTAAAAAATTATATCAAAAGGAAAAGGCAGTCAATGGGCCACAACTGGAAGGAAGTTCCTACGTGTCAAAAGCGCGATCGATAGATGACCCTTGTAACATCCGAATCGTAGAAGATGAAGTATTCTCACCCCTTTAAGTAGTTGACACACGACACTTTGGGCCCAGCCCATGCGTGTCTTCGGCAGGAAAAAGGTTGCTCGATGTATCCCATTTAGCTGAAGGGTGCCATTTCTTGGCTCCATATGTACAGCGCATAGGACTGCCACTCCATAGTTGACTGCGTTTCTAGGCAGCGAATATTTTGTTCCCGTGTTTCTTTTGGAGGAAACCATTAGTTTATACTATATATACATTTCGTTTTGTGTTTCTTGAAAATTAATATATTTATTAGCGTGAATGTCCGATTGCAGAATATTGAGTATCACATAGAACCGTATTATGAGTATCGATTATTCCATCACCCTACATGAGTGAATTGTATATTTACATTCGTGCACCGTCGATAGGTGGCCTTCTGATCTAAATAGAAGAAAGAGATCGTCCATATGATGTTGCACACAGATGCCGGTGAAGAGAAAGGTTGCTCGATAGTCTACGTGTGGTTCATGAATGGTGTCATTCCATGGCTCCATATAGGAAGCGAGTAGGATTGCCAATATGAGAATCGTGTTAGACCATAGCAACGATGATGATGAGGAAAGCTGCTTTGTTGCATATAATACGTGATAGATATTTGGTTTTCTGATTCCTTTTGTCTATTGAGAGTGAGTGTATTTATTAGAGTGAATGTATAGTTGAGAGGGACTACGGAGGACATGCAGTACCGATCGACCCTCATTCCGATTAGTTTATACAATATGTGTAAAGATTGATGGAAGAATATCGAGTATTCCACCACTCTATTTGACTGAAGAGTACGTAATTCAGAAAGAATGTATTTAAGAATAAAAAAAGAAAAGAAAAAGTGGGTTTGGGTTTAAAAACTGCAAGGTTTGGTGGGTGCAACAACTTTACAGTTGATAACCAATGGAGCCTAACTACGGATAAGACCAATCTGCCAAAAACACCAAAAAGCGATTCTCACGGCAAGCCTGAGAGGTCATAATGAGTATATGCTATAATATATATATATGGTCATAATTTTATATATGCTCAATAATGAACCTATGTGTGTGTACCGAGTTAAGTTAATATAAAACGATCAATCATAACTTAACATAAAAATGAGCAAAAAACTTACTAAGCATAATTTACAAAAGCCTCAACGTTTAAAGACAAGAATACTAGAATTACTCATGAGTTCTCTCCCAGTTTCACTAATTTGTACAGATTTTATTTTTTAATGTATATTTTATATTCATGTGTTGTTAATTGATAAAGCGTTTGGAAATTTAATATATTAAGAATAGTAGACCTATTCGTTTAGATATTCATATTTGTAAACCTTTTAAATTAGTAAATTAGTTCATCCAATTCCTGATAAAGGATTCCTCTAAGGAACTAAGTGTTTTTTAATTAGTCTCTCTTTTAAAAAGGATCCTCACAGTAAGTGAAATTATCATCAGTTTTACCCACCAAATAGTAATTTTGTTGATACTGCATTGATACGAGATACAAACCGTTGTACAAAAATGTTCGGAAAAACAGTGAGAAAAAATTTGAAATTTTGTCTGAAATGAAATCCTCCCGTAAAAGGCGAGACCTGAGTTTTACGGCTGGCCCGGGCGAAGCATTACTTTAACGGTTATGGGCTTTCTCTTTCTCTCTCTCTCTCTTTTTCTCTGGGCTGCTTCGTCCCGCAGGGGCTTTTAAGCCACTGGGAAAACTAAGCAAATGGCCCATTAAAATTATATATTCAACACGTTTGTTTATATCGTGGCACGTTCCGATAGAAGACGATGACCGCGAGGCGGATGGCCGGCCGACTGGAAATTGCGGTTTCCCGAGGGCGTCCGAAACCGCTTCTGTTTAGAAACAAAAGCGAGACG